CGCAAAATCGGTTTTCCAAAAAATCGATTTTGGTTTTTGGTGTTACTCTAAAACAAATGAACGTATATACATGAAATTTTCACTTGTTGTTTATATTTGCATTTTCTATACACGATAACATTTTCAAAATATTTTGATTTATTTTGAACTGTTTAGGGACATTTTAATTTTCCATTTGTTTTTAGTTTTTTTTCTAAAAATATCAATAAAATTTTATTTGTTGGTTTCGAAAGCTTGAAAATTTAATAGAAGGCTCCTAGTATATTGTTTCAAAGGCAGATGAAAAATATTAAAAATCCTTAGTCACAATTTTTTTTTATAAGCATTTAAAGTTTAAAAATTGACAAAATATGGAAAAATCACGAAAATTAGCAAATTATGTTGAGTTAAGAATTCGTAAAAATTTTTCTTTTTAAACCTAAGATTTGAAAATGTAATACAAGATTCCTTATAAGATTATCTACCTTTATCAAGAAAAAATGTCTATAAGAAAGTCGAATTAAATTTTTATGAGCGTTTGAAATTCAAATTTTTACAACATTGGATATTCACTCGATTTTTCATGTAGCGATTTCCTTTTTTTTGTTGTAACACAAAAACGAATAACTGTAAATACATGAAAATTTCACTGAATGTTTATATTAGCATTTCCTATACATCATACAATTTTGAAAATATTTTGACTCTTTTTGAGCTGTTTACGGACATTTTCAGTTTTCAATTTTTTTAGTTTTTTTTTTCTATAAATATCAATAAGGTTTTATCTCTTGGGCCAAAAAGTGTAAAAATTTAATACAAGCCTCCTGATATATTGTTACAATAACAATTGAAAAATATTAAAAATACATAGGCACAATTTTTTTTATAAGCATTTAAAGATCGAATTTTGACAAAATTTATCAAAATCTCGAAAATTATCAATCGTTGTAATTAATAAATTATAAAATGTTCAGTTTTTATAGCTAAGGATTGCAAATTTAAAACAAAGGTTCTCATAAATAGTTCATATTGTAATCAAAAAATCTAAAAAATATATGAACACAGTTATTTTTTACAGACATTTTAAATCCAAATTTGGACGAAATTACATATTAAAATCAATATTAACGATCTTGGTTTTTCGTTGTAATTTAAAAATATTATTCGGGGATATATGATACCTAATGGATATTGTGATATGATTAATTTGGAATTTATTATAGGTATCTATTATAGGTCAATTTTTATTTTAATACCATCGATAAGTATATATGTCTTACACCTAGACTGACATACCATCTCCACTCAGAATCGTTATTCTTATACAATTGAATTCAAATTTAATACCATCCATTATACCATGACCCACTTGTAACCTACAGTACAGCAGAGCGACATTCACTTACCCACCTTTTTTTTGTTTAAGTCCGAATTTTTGTCTGCTGACTTTAAAAATTGCAAAAAAAGTTTTTGAGGTGTGTATTGAAAAACATAATAAGGGGCCTCAATATTTTGGTTTTGCACACAGGCCTCAAGTAGCCTAGTTACGGCACTGTCCTTAAGGCATCAAAATTGGAAAAAAACATGATAATAATTAGAAATAAGCAACTAATATTGTAAAAATGTCTTTCTTCTCTTCTAAAGTATATATTTAATTGTATGTATCTTAAAAGCTAATGACCTATGCTGCCGAAGCTTAAATGTTCAATAAAAAAAAAAAAAAAAACAGAAAATTACATTACATTACATAATTATAAAAATCCTAGTTCTATAAATTGTTATCGCTGTAACTTATACAAATTATAATTGTATTAATAAATACAAAACAGATATTAAGCAAAAAAAATACCTAATAATTATAAAATTATAAAAAAATATCTCATTGAATCTTAGTCAATAATATTATTAAAAATATATACATATCTTATGTATAGGTACCACTAAGTTAGATGTCAGAATAAAAAAAAAATATTACATAATTATAAAAACCCTAGTTGTATAAATTGTTATCACTTATCACTGTAACTTTTAAAAATTATTTTAATAGTTCTATTAACTTTTTTTCCCCCAGACTTTTTTCCGTTCCCCAATAGATTTATACGGCGGTGTAGCACGCTGCAGCACTGCTTGGTGGTAAAATGATTTTATCCTTCATTTTATCTATAATCTAAAACTAATACCGTAGCAAGTTGTCTACAGAAATTTTGGTTATAACCAAGAAAATATTCTTTTATTATCTATGGTTATAACCAATTCCAAATTTGTTTCGAACATAATAATGTTATATAAATTCAATAATTTGTATTGATAATCAAATAACAATATAATTGATAAGATATTCAAAGAAATACCTTTTTTGTATCATTTATTAAGTTTTATGAGTTTATGACTTATGAATTTCATATTCATTATATCATACGGCGCTATAGTTCAAGTAAAAACAAAAATCCCTAGGAGGGTGGGGGGGCGTGGTAATTGTCACGTCACCCCCTCTCGAATCCGCCACTGCAGTCTGGTTTACGTAAATATTATGATGAATTACCAATATTCATTTAAATCTATAAAAATTAATTCGATAGATTTAATAACATATCAATAATTAGTTTGCATAGCTGAAGAATAAGTCGTATACCCACTTTGTTTAATATGTAACACCAACGATATATGTATAGGTTAGGTAATCTATCTAATTATACTTTGGTTCAACCATTTTAATTGTGAACAACTATTGTACGTCAAAACTTTCAAACTCATTGTAAACTGTACTATTTAGTATTTGGCCTTTTAAATTGCAACTGTTTTAGAATAGCCATACAGAATTTTGACGAACGTATTAACTCGGTATTCATGGAATGTTTGGGATTATATAGGGATTTGAACTTTGAAACAAAAAAATCTGTTACGTAACGCTTAAATGGTTAAAATATTCGTTGAAAATTTTGAAAATAAAATAGTTTAAACTTATAACTTTTACCATTTCATGGAACAAATTATTCACCGCAATATAGAGTAAAAATGTCTGATTTCGGTTAATCCCGAATTCTCAAAGAGTATAGTCATTGTTTGTAATTTTTATAATAATTAATATGTAGAAATAACACATAATATTATAGAACCTTCCATTTTTGTTTACCGATCTCATAAACAATATAATATAATGTATTTAATCACGATGTAATTTACGATGGAAAAATCAATTAGATATTTAACACTAATTAAATCCCCGAGTCGGTACATATACAAATAATTGGGTATTTCTTTTTATTTAATTAAATCGTTGTACAATTGTAAATTAAATAATAGGATGAAAAACAGCTCTTATAAATAAACCACTTTTATGTGAATATTTTCAATAACTATTAACTATTATATTATTACCGATATTCAATAATAACAATTAATTACAACTTATGTGACGAGAAATGTATTTTATATTACACAACAATTTAGTTTTCACAAGAAAATATTATAAACATTTTTGACACTGTTTATTACGTTTATGATAATCTGTAGTATTGTATAAATCATTATTTAAAAAATAAAAATGAAAAATTTTATGAACTACAAAAACATTAATTTTTAATATATTATGTTATTATAAATATTTAGTATTACAATATTAGGTACCTACATATTTGATGTTGTACACAGTATTCTAGATTAAATTATTATTTTCTGAAAAATGTAATCGATGTTTTGTTTTTTTTTTTTTGATTACATTTTTATAAGTTTCTGACATATTAATGGATTTTCGTTAATCAATCATATTATTATATATTTTACAGTACATAAATCAAACATTTAGGCAGGCCTTTAAATATCTAAACTCGTATACCTAATATGGTTATAATGTACTTATTATTTGTCCACGATGAAGAAATGTCTCGCAGTCATTTAATAAGAACGATATTTTTTGTGTTAGTTGTTATTTTTCCAAATTGAACAAGTAGACACGAAGTAAATTATGTACATTAATTGTTAAAAAATAAAACTTAAACAAAAGTAAATGTTAGTTTAAACTTTACCCCGTAAGTAATAATATTGTTTAGTATGAATTATTTTAGTTGTATAATATTGTGTGCTCAAAAGTTAAACATATAATATTGTCTAATTTAAGTCAGTGTATAATTATACATAATATTCAAATTGTTTTATTTTCGTAGATATTGATTAAAATCGTGTTATAAATATTAAATAAATATTGTTTTGAATGAATATAGGTAATAGATGTATATAATATGTATGTATTAATTAGGTGTTTTTTATTATGAAAAACTTAGCTGTAAGTATTCAGTGTAAGCAATTTCATGAATGTCTAATTTTAGTGATAAAGTAATGAAAAAAAAAATTGTTTTTATTATTTGGTAACAAAGAATATCATATTTATTTTTAATATACTTCCCGAATTTTTGTTAGGTATAAGTGTATAACATAATATTTGAAATCCGTTACTACGGATTTTTGGTCTTCTTTAAATAATTACAATTTTTAAAAACAAGAAATATCATACAATAATATTTATTAAAATAAGAATAGTATGTCCATTTATTTTAATTTTAGTTTAATTTTATAACTAAGGACGTTGACATTTAGAAGGTATCTGAATAAATATAATCACATACTTAATAATAATAATAATATTTAAGGTCAGGGTATCGTGGCAGAATTATAAAATGTATTTAATATTTAATTGATAAATATTCTTAAATGTATGCAAGCTAGTTTGCCTTATAAAACCCGTTATTTCATAATATTGCTACAAATACTTCAAGTTACAAATGTATATAAATGAGTTATGTTAATAGTTCAATTTAAGAAAATAAATTCTCATATTGAAATATTTATATTGTTGTTTAATAATTTAACGATATAATATTACATTTATTTATAATATAAATAATATGTATGAACTATCTTTAAACATTAATAATTTTTTTAAAATTTAATGATGACTTTTCGCTTTTTGTTATATGAAATAAATAATTTACCTATTCAAAAAATTAGTAAATAAACACGATTACCTCCTTGTTTGCAATCAGACTTTTCCACAGCCCAAATGATCAACACGAAGATATATATTTGAACGAAAAACTTATGCATTTTGGGTTCTTCGGTTTCGATGTATTTTCCTCACCTGTTGCTCATACACGCTCTGGGAAGTAAGTTTACCTACGGCTGCCACACGTTAACTGAGGCAGTCAAAAGAGTTTACCCTGCATTTGTATCCCATTTTATACCGAAAAGGTGCATGGATGGTTAGGTGCCTATACATAAAAACACACTCCTACGCAAGATTGAGTATATTATGACGTCCGTGTTTGATATTAACAGTAATTTTCAATCAAGATTTTATTCATAGTGATTTAAAATATTATAATTGTTCGTTTTCAGTATAATATGATAATAATACTTTTTTTTTACAAGTAACCTAACCATGTTAGTTAACATAATGTAAAATAATTAGTTATATTGTTGAATATTAAAACTATATTGGAATTGGAATATGAAACATTAATATTATAATATTAAATTTTAAACACGAGTTCATTTTATATTGATTAAACACTTTAAAACGATATATTTATAATAATAACAGGAAATAATATAAAATTGTGCTTTAAGTTGTTTTGTATTAAAATGTATTAAAACAAATAATATTTTGTACATTATTTAAAATCGTAATAGTTTATGATGGTCAAAAATTTAGCACATTATTGTAAAATGTTTAAGAAAAGTAAAAAAACGTAAAAATTAACTAGGTACTTAATGTTAATTTGAAAAAATAGGATAATTATGTATAAGAATAATAAAAAAATATTATTTAGGTACCTACTTAATTCTATACCTAATGATTTAAGGTATATTTTAAGACAAAATATGTCTTAATCCTATATAAATATATTATTCAGGGTAATTCTCCAAGCATACTCGTCCCCATTTTTTCTTTAGTATTGATAGTTGTATCTATTCAAATTCTGATTAATGGAATGTTTAAATATACTTAAATACCATATTTTCAAATTATTGAGATTTTTTTGACTACTCACCTTTTATACATTAAATTATTTAAGAGATAATTTTTTTGAAAACTTTTATGTATATAATTCAAAATTCCACCGAGCAGTTTTGCAGTTATTAAAATGTTTATACTAAGAATAATAGCCCTAAGAAAGAAAATGGATAGTATAAAATTCACTCTTTGTATTTTTATGATATTGTTTATTATTATTTTATCAATAAGCTTACTGTTCTACTCTGTTCATATCTGTATCAAATGGCCTAAAAAAGAATTTCGTTAAGCAAAAAAAAAAAAATACGTAATAGGTATTGGATATTTTAGTATTATTATTATAAATGTTAATTCGTATTAATTTATAAAATCACCATAGTCCCCTTATCCTTAAAACCCATTACCATAGACCCATTATTATTAGTACACAATGTAAATAACTTAAAAATATTAGTTCACATTTTTATTTTGATAACTCAAATTTTTCAGAAAAATTTTCCGTTAAATAATTCACTGTAGAAAAGGGGGTTCTCATTTTTAAAAAAGAATTTGTATTTCTATAGGACACTCTTTAAGTAGGTTATAGTAAAAAAAATCTCAAAAAGTTAATATTTGATCTTTACGTATAATTAAAAAACTTCAAAAATTAGTTTTTTAATAACCGCATAGTGTTGTAGAAAATAACGCGTGAACATAGTTGATGAATTATTTTACCTTCTATACATTATTTTTGATTATGCTATTGTATATTAAAATTTGACATGAAAACAGAAATTATTATTAATAGTGACTTATATGTCAATTATTCGTAAGCATTTTTTTCACTTGCAATTTAAATGTTTGTTAAATTAAAATTTTTTTTTTTTTATTATTGAAGATTATACTTTCAATAGCAAGGGCCATTATACCTTTATAAATTAATAGATTATATTTTTGTTTTGGGTAACAATTTGGTTACATACTTTAGGGGGACTATTTTAAAATTATAACACATTTAAAGTGATCATAGGCCATATTAAATTATGTAATTTTTATTTTTTCTGTAGTAATACTTAATAATTAATCAAGGTCAGACCTTTTAATAATTATTAATAAACATTTATACTATCATATTATTTAAAACGTTTTTGTTTATAAATAACTCAATACAATTATTTTATTGCGGGGAATTCAAAAATGTATTTTTTATACTGTGATAAATATTTAAAAGATTTAATACAGAAAAACTTTTATTTCTACTTGTATTCTTATTAAAAATGATAGATAAATTATTTATAATTGCAATATAATCCGTTTAAGAAAATAACTTATTTAAAGTGGGGATTAAGATATCAATGTTTTATATTAAATAATAGTTTACAGCTTCATATTTACTTTAATTAATAATTACGATTTATTCATATTACACATTACGAGCTTTTAATATTTTATAGTTTACTTTCCGTAAACATTTGTAAATTATTTTAGTCTGCAGAGTTAACATATCGAAAAAAGATTTCAAATTTACAGTTTACATAATATAATGAAACTAAGCTATAGTCATAATGTTTACATAATATAATGTATATATATTTAAGTTTCATACACCTATAGAGTATAGGCTATAAATATAACTGCTGTAGATTGGTGTATGTATATTTAGTATTGCATTTTACACGTAAGCTCCCCGTAAGCATGTATATTATTATATTATAATACAATATACTTTTATAAGAATACATTTGAAACACAATCAAATAAAATGGCTTTATTAGATTTAATAAAATATAACAAATTGATTTGGTGGTTTTTTTTTTGTAGATCACGGTTTGAGGTACGAAATTCGGCGGTAATATATCAGTACCCGTGTACTGATCTAAACAGTCTACAATTAGTACACATTTTAGCTATACGTGATAACTGATATCTAAGTAATTTATAAGTAAAAAAATAGTTCAATTTGTGGAACGGTGGGTGCTTCTAAATACGCCACTGCAGGTAGAAATAATTATTTTATTCTGGGTGAACTAGGAAGCAGACATTTTATGACGAATGCAAATCGACTGAAGTGCTCGAGTTTTTCTTAAGGACCTAATACAGCAGGGCTTTTTAGCTTGGACCGAGCAAGTGCAGAGTCTGGAGCTGACTAGGTAATTTAATTTTAATTTTTTGTTAGGTGTTGGGCCAAAGTTAAGAGTCTATCGAAAGTCGAACTCTATAGTATTTGATTGTTAGGATGGATGGTAGTAAGTTATTAGTATTAAAGAATTATTTAAGTTTATAAAGAGCCGCACTTCGTGCCACACTCTTTAAAACTTACGTTAAACTGTTGCGAATTAGACCTTATGTACTTTTATAGTATATCATTAATTCTACAAATGTTACATTTATATATATTTTATTAGTCTGACTCTCTGACTATTATAAATAATTGTAAACCAATTCAATAGACGTCGAGCATTAAAATAAAAATAATAATAAATTGCATATCTGGATTCTTTTCTTGACCGACAATTTTTGTTAACACGCAATACAATTTTAAAACAGAAATCGAGAAATAAAACGAACCAATAGTGGGTACATTACACTTAAACATGAACGCGTAGATAAACATTGGCTGTAATAATCAAAATAATACAGTTCGACAAACAATAAATAAAGTTTTTTGGAATTCAATATTATTATGTTGTTATGAAATAAAAACTAAACAAAAACAACAACCATAAAAAAAGTAAACGTAGACATAATGCGGAAATTGGATGTTCAGTGGGTATACTCTTTCGCTTTGCTCACTTGCACGGCGATAACCAGTACATTGAATGATGTTATAAGAACATATTAATATTTTGATATCGATGTTAATGGATTTATCTTGTAAAAAAAAACGCCGTTTTGAAACCAAGTTTCATACTAATAAAGATAATTGAGATTTTGTTAAAATGTACCATTCATTTTCATGTAGGCACCTATAGTATAATAAATAGGGCCCGGAACTTGATGACCTAAAAGTCTTTAAAAAATGCACACAAAAAAAATGTTAAAATGAATTATAAACATCAAAAAATTATTGAAAAAATTACCACAGAAATACCAAAAATTATTTTATAATGATTTAATATTTTTAAAAATGTAAGTTTACAATAATTACGTTTTATACAATTCATGATTCATATTATAGGTTCTAGCTGTTTGAAAATGTTTACTGTCGAACGAATTTTTTTGAAGTTTGAAATAATTTGATCGACTTTTGGGAAATTTTTTCTAGTTGACCGGGCCTAAAATAATATCTGTCAACAGTTTATTGAATAATAGTAGATTGCGACAGCAAACGATAAAGATAATGAACGTCGATAATCGACAAGCTAATGGAAACTGAATGTGTTACGATAAAGTGTAACTTTCAACAAGAAAAATGCAAATAAATGTAAAAAAAAAAGTACAAAAATGAATAAAATGCACCAAAAATACTAAAAAATTACCGTAAAGCAATAAATTCCTTAAAAATGCAAAAAATGCAAAATAAAAATTGTACCATTAAGTTCTATATTCCATAAATCAAATTTCAGTAAATACGAGTCTCGTATGTAAGCATTAGAAAAAAAATTCAAATGCATTAAGTTCCGGGTCCTAATAATAAATAATATAATAAGTTCGAATAACTACAATTTGTGAAATACTTGTGATCCCGATAAACATTTGTTTATGATTCAAAATTAAAACAGCCAAATAAGATGTTTATCAAATATAATAATTTGTTTTTAAAAAACGAATGATGTATAAAAGTTAAACTTTCGAAGTTTCAATACACTGCAGCCTGCTTAAATAGGTGTATGAATAGTTTTCTTATTTCATGTATGAACGCCTATAACAAAAATATAGAGACGACTATAGGTACTTAAAAGTCGTATGTATGATTGGTATAATTGTCAGAGCCGTTATAGTTATTTGATAGGTAGGTCAGTTTTAACTTTTTGAAACCCTATATCGTATAGGATTTTAATAAGTTAAGAGTAATAACATTAAAAAAAAGTATTAATACTCATAATTTATAACATAATGATATTTTTTTATTACCACTCTATTATTTGCTCACGATTTTATTGTTACTTTT